TATCTGAAAGTGTGATTTAAACAAATATTTGCAACAAACGTAGATGACCCAAAAACTAAGACCACATTCTAATATGATAGCAATGCCTAAATGTTGATGTGTTGCACATGCAGGAGTCCAGTGGGGCTGCTGGTGATAGTGTACTTGATTTAGTGGATTACTGTCATCGCAAACTCACATTACTGGCAGGACGCTCTGTCTCTGGAGAGATCCCAACTGGGGACCGAATTACACACGCACAGATGTCAAACACGGCATCTGTACAGGTGAAGAACACTACAGCAAATATAATTCTAACTCATTCTCATGAGCATAATTTACATAACATTTACCAGAACTTGTACACTGTTTGTTGCAGGATCTGCAAAGACAAAGTGACATGTTAGAGTTTGAAATCTCTATCAAGGCTCTGTCAGTACTGTGCTACATCACTGATCACATTGAGAGGTAACTAAGCTACTGGGTATTTAAAGAGACAATATTAAGGGAATAGTTCATCCCCCCCAAAAAAACAAAAAAAAAACCACCTGAATATTTTGTCCATACAACATATAGATGAGTTTGCTGCTTCTTTAGAACAGATTTGGAGAAACTTTACATAAAGTGCTCACCACTGGATCCCCTGCAGTGAATGGGTGCCACCGACAGAATGAGAGTCCAAATAATCCACAAGTAATTCACATGACTGTAGTCTATTAACGTCTTGTGAAGTGAAAAGCTGCATATTTGTAATAGACAAATCCAACAAGACATTTTTAACTTCAAACCGTTTCAGCTAAAATACAAGTTCTCTATCTATAATATTGCTTTCAGCAGTGAAAAAGTTGTCCAATCTGAATCAGAAGAGAAATGTGCACTGATCAAGCTCCGTTTACAAGTGAAAACAGTCCAAATATACGTTTTGTTTTTTTTTACTGGAGGAATAGTTAATATGGATTATGGACTTGTATTTTTGCCAGAAGTGATGGTTTAAAGTTAAAATGCCCGGACTGGAGATGTGTGGATTACTTGTTGAATATTATGATGTTTTTATCAGCTGTTTGGATTCTATCGGCACCCATTCACCGCAGAGGACCCATTAGTGAACAAGTGATGTAATGCTGAATTTCTCCAAATCTGTTCTGATGAAACTCATCTACTGTACATCTTTGATGAGTAATTTTTTTTTAGCAAATTTCATTTTTGGGTGAACTATTTTTTTAAACATTTTACATAAAATAAATACAAAAAATACATATTTAAAAACAGTTTTAAAACATATGCCTAGTAATGAATGTTGAAATTTCTCCTTTTAATGTAGTTTGGGTTTGAGTGTGCTCTCAAGGATGTTGTGCACTCATAATATGCCCTGTGTGCTGGTACAGCTGGTGGAAAATCGCCCCTGGAACGGAGGTTAGTCTCCAAGTTGTACTGTATTTCAAGCATACAGTATATATATTGAATATATATTCAATCATTTTATTAATAATTTTTAATAATATTTTTATTATTTGTATTTTTTTCCATTCAAGAACCTTTCACAATCAGAATGCATAAGAATCAAATTACAGAACAGCTATACACAATGTCAGATAGAAGTGGATCAAACATTTCAATGAGCAGCACATTTATCAGGAAAAGTGCTCATAAACTGTTAAAGAATTTAATTCAGAAAAATCATAATCACAGTTGCAGGTTGGAATTACCATATTTTTAAGAATTTCCATAAACGTCTGCTTCAAACTATCCAAACACCTCCATAGACTTACATTAGAAAAGAGCAAAGCCTTGATTGATAATATAGCAGACAGCAATTGTTGCTAAGGTTGGATTGGTCTGTAACATTTTTGACTACATAGTCTTTTTCTCCCGTGTAGGAACACTGGAAAAATACACAGAGGGGAAGTGGAGAACCGTCCTGCCTGAAGATCAGCTAAAGTTGAGTAAACATGATGGCCAAGTGTGGATAGCTTTACTGAACCTGCTACTCAAACCAGACTGCCAAAGAAAATATGATTTCAATAGCTTTAACAAAACACAGCTCTTAAAGGTAAGATTTTGCAAAGGGGCAATTTTTTTTTTAAATATCATCGCTGGGTGAGCCAGTATGGGGCTCTTGTAGTATAGTAAATTACAATATAAAAACATGCCTGCATATTTCAACAATACCAGCTTAATAATATTTCTGTCATGACAACTCTCGGAGGGATTGGCATGGTAATGTACGTGACAATGTTAATGTATTTGGTCTTGGCGGAATAGATCTGCTACACTGCTGCGGCGGCAGAGCAAGTACCGAGACTTGCAACTGCCAGTACATCCACAACATGCTGCTGTGAGCATGTAATAAATATTGCTGCTGCAAATATAACATACATGAAATAACCCCCATATAGCATACACGAATCACCTTGTAGCAGATCTATACAGGTGGAGCTGGGGAAGGTGGAGGGTTTCTGAAGCAAGCTGTAACTGCTACGGCAAGCACTAGTCATTATTTGAACGTTGAGCAGCGAGCTCATTGGCAACCGATACAGAAGAGAACCAATCAGCTGTGCCATGTGATAATGATGTCATTAGGTCAGATTGAGTTAGACCTATCGGACTGCGCCATCTAGAGTTTCATGCCAGAACTCTATATTTTTATGAAACGCAAAACAATTAAGGCTTTTAATCAGCTTTATAACATGCTAAATGATTGTATTATTCTCGTCTTATATATATATATATATATATATATATATATATATATATAGTCTATTTATAAAGTATGTCTGTCATGTATATCATATCATTATAATTCTTTCTATCCAGCTTCGTGGGTTTTTGACAGAGGTTGTGATAGATCAGTTACCAAATCTACTTGATCTCAAGCACTTTCTCAGTCAACTTGCTGTCACAGATCCAGCAGCCCCTAAAAAAGATCTCATCTTGGAGCAGGTTTTCCAGCATACACATACAGTACACAACCAAGTTTGCGGTCAGTAAGATTAAAAAAAATGTATTGATACTTTTATGAGCAATGATGCATTACACTGATCAAAAGTGACAGTAAATACATTACAAAAGATTCTTATTTTAAATAAATGCTGGGGGGGTTTTTCTAATCAAAGAATCCTAAAAGTGATCCATTTTTTTTTTCATATTACGCAGCAAAACTGTTTTCAACATTGATAAAAATAAAAAAAATGTTTTGAGCAGCAAATCAGCATATCAAGATGATTTCTGAAGAATAATGTGACACTGAAGACTGGAGAAATTATGCTGAAAATTCAGCTTTGCTATCACAAGAATTAAGTACATTTTAATATATATTAAAATTGATATTAAAATAGAACAGTTATTTTAAATTCTAATAATATTTCAGAATGTTGGTGTTTTACTCTATTTTTGATCACATAAATGAAGCCTTGATGAGCATAAAATACTTTCAAAACATTTTAAATCTTACCAACCTAAGATTTTGGAACAACAACAAAATTCTTGTTTGTTTAGTTACCAGAGATATGGAATAATATTGTAACGAAGAACAGCAACAAGTGGAAAGCCATTGCTAAATACCAAGTGACACAGGTTTTCAACCCCTCTGAAAGTGAATTAAGAGAACAAGCTAGCAGGTGAGGTTTGATGTCTATCTGGAAATGTCCTTCGTAAGGAATGAGGAGATGCAGTTATCAAATGTTAGTCTAACAGTATGCATATATACTGTATAACTGTTTATTTGCGCCTTTCTGATCAGGTTGGCTCAAACATATAATCTGGATGTGATGGAGCATTTAATCCCAGACAAACCCAAGTGTGGAGCCTGTGGAAGAACAGGTGCAAAACGCTGCTCCCGCTGTCAGGGAGAGTGGTATTGCAACAGGTATAACAACACGTGTTTGTTTTCTGACAAAATGATTCAGTCTTTCAGATTTGACCACTTTAACTGAGTAATAAGTTACTTTACTATACTAATTCCTTAATTTATAAACTAGATTAAGAGAAGGGTAATATACTGTACAATAATTGCCCCTTAAATTTTGGCTTTGCCATTATTTGTTCAGGATTATATTATCATTTATAAATCTATTTGTCTGGACTTTCTTTGTAGAGAGTGTCAGGTGAAACACTGGCCCAAGCACAAGCCTGCATGCAAGCTCATGGCAGAGGCCATACAAAAACTACAGAAGGAACCCAACATCAGCAGGTGAAGTACAGGACTAATAAATAAAAGGGCTGAGAGAGTGATGCTGGGGGACACACAAGTTCATAAGAACACATCCACTATGAAACTGGACACTGATGGAAAAGGACAAAAATATACAAGAAACTGTTCCTGACAGTTCTTTCCTTAGCTGTTATATGTTTGTATATTGTTTGTCTGAAGAAGGTAACAAGATCATTCCTGTAAGAAAGCTTTCATACATATTCTTTGTAAATTTATGATTTTATGAACATGCTTATAAATGACATCATTTATTAACAATAGTCACATTTTAGTTGATGAATTAATAGCTGTATCACTGTAATCTTTAAAGATAATATTGAACGAAAATTAACTAAACTAAACTACACTTGAGATGCAAGCACATTGATTTTTACTGAAAAAACTTTATTGCATCTGTTTAAATGACTTCCTTTGTTTTGAAAAAAAAAAAAGGAGAAATTTTGAACATTATTGCCAGTTTTCTATGCAGTTACAATGAATGGTGACAGGATCTTTCAATCTTTAGGGATATTAACGTTAACCAAAACTAGAAAAAAGAAAAAAAAAAAACGAACAAACGTTTCTGTTACTTTAAAGGTGAACTGAAATAATATGTGGAAAAACAAACTTATTTCAGCTAGTTGCCAATGCAACATTGCTCATTTTCATTAGCCTGCCCTAAATTGTTGTACTAAAACAACTAAAATTAAACTGAAATGAAACTATATAGATATTTAAATATTAAAAATACATATTACTATATACTAAAATAAACCTGTTACACTAAAAAAGGATGCAAAAGTGGCATAAATGTATTTAATATATCTGTACCTTTTACAAAACACAAACCATTTTGAGCTGATTGTTTTTATTGTAACACAACCTCCAAGTTCCAGTGGGATTAACATTGTAAAAATCCAAAACACTTGGTACAAGTGCCTTTGAGTCTCATAATATCGGTGACAACAAGACCCTGGGGATCTGTACTGTACAACTGCCAAAGAACATGTGCATACAGTGGCACACAGTAGGCCATGAGAGAGATTTGTGGGTATCGGTAACGGATTTGGAATTTAGTTTAAATTTCATTCACAACCTTTTTTGGCGTATGAGAAAAACCTTTGGTTTATACAATAGAGGACTATGTGGAATTGTATGACCACTGTATGCTGTACTGATACCTGCATTTTAAGAAATTACAGTACATTACAAACTAAACATATTAAGCTTTTTTCAGTTTCTTGTATTGAAGTAGACACAAAAAGAAAATCAAATACGTAAGACACTCAAAAGAAGAAAACAGAAAGACAAGAACAAGACACAAAAAAATTAATTGATCTATAATAGTCATTTGTTTTTAGTGATGTAATTATTGTATTGTATCAAAAGTACTGATATTTTAAACATAGAGGATCAATCAGTCTTTTAGGACATTGAGCCTTTTCCAGTGCATCCAACGTAGTTATCAAATTTCCTCTTACTAAGAGACCTTTCTGAAACTAATACTTGATTCATTCATTGAACAACAAAATGTACAAAAAAGTAACATTTCACAGAAGAACTGAAAAGATAAATTGATAAATGAAGAACTTCACTTTCTACTGTAAATACTTCAGAAACTGCTTTGACCTTCAGACTTGAGATGTTTGGTTCAGAAACACCATTTCATGGTTTCATGATCAATAACTGACAAGACAATATCACAGTGCACAGACTGACATCACAGACCTTTCTTGCCCTTTTATATCAAATGATAAAAAGACCAATACAAAATCTAGATGTACCCACAATTGTCTAAAGGACATTTTATAAAACAGATATTAACAAAATACATACAAAACTTGAAAGTGTATAAAAAGAACACATTGCTGTTTACCATGTATGATTAAGGTCTAAGTATGTATTGTTGTTAGAAACTGGAATAAACTGTTATTAATTCAATTTTCACTGATTATATTCCATTTTTTCCGTCTTCGGTTGTCGTCCTCAGAATCTTAATTAAGAATGACAATCCCTGACTAAAAACAAAACACCAATCAGTCAATCAATCAATCAATGTAGACTGAAAAAATACATTAAAATCTTAAAATCTTGAGGTACCATAACATGTGACAGAGTGTGATTGTCTTACCTGCTAAACTCTCTTTAGTTCCAGTTCTCAGTACCACTGTAGAAGAAAAAGAAGAATATTTTACTCAAATGTCACAGAAACGACAATATTTCCAATGACTTTATTTATACAAAGATGGAGAGCAAGCTATAAATTAGTCAAAGATCAAGCAGACATGGAACGTCATGCAATGTTACATGTTAGCGGAAGAATATGTGAAAGATCAGTGACAACACGTATGATTTCAGTGAAACATATATTGAAAGTAACTATGAGGAACATACACAGGACTGTGTAGAACATGGAAAGATGGTGAATTCCTGATGTGTGACAGAGAAAAGTAGCAAGATGGAAAGAAGGACAACAAATGTCTTAATAAAGTAATGGTGGTTGACCATGAATTAATACAAGTGAGAAAAATTCAAGTTGAGATGTCAGTTGAAAAGTTGAGACATAAAGCAGAAATTTTAAAACAAGATGAACACTGACATGAATGAATGTGTTTTCAGAGGAGACGTATGGACATATCAATGCAAAGACAGAAAGAAGGTCAATAAAAGGAGAACAGATGAACTATTGAAAGGTTTTGTACCTGTAGGATGCATATACGGTTGCATACCCCGTGTGAAAGTGTGTTTGTGTGTGTGAATTTGTGTCACCAGTCAGGCTGTCTTGGGGGGGCTGAGGCCCGAGGATACCACCTCATTGTGTCATAGGATGGATAGCTGAAAGAAATCCAGGTTAACTGTGAAAACGGTTTTAGTTTTGAAAGTTTGGAATGGCAGTGTAATTTGGACAGATCTAAACAAAATATATCTTTCAATTAGCTCCAAAAAAGAACCGAAAACTGTCATGCGGTGGGATGGATAGAGATGGATGCTGGGAAAAAAATATCATGCTATTACATTATTCGCTATGCGTGCATTTCATTTAGTTTCATTGAATTTGAATTATAGAAACAGGTTAATGAATTATAGAAACAGATCAATTAATTTTGGGGTATCAAAACAAGTCCACCCATTTAGAAACTCATGCAACTATTTTCATACTTTGACCAATAAAAACTAAATACATAAAAATGTAAATAAAACATTAAAACCCTAACCAGAGTTTTACATGCTAAAGTAGAATATTATCATGTACAGTATGAAAGACACATATCTGTTCATTTGTAAACCTATCAAAATATATATTGTATATATTAATAATAGAATCTTATAATCATATTTTTGGTGTCCAAAGTCAGCTCATGTTGATATCACATGCATACTGTACATATAGATGCACATGCACACAATTGACTTCAGCTAATACTGATTTTATCATGCAGAGATGAAGAGGTGGAATAAACTCTACCTGCTCATCACGGGGTTGTTTATGCCATATAAAGACTCATTATGATAACCACTTACAACAACATCCATACTACTGTAAATGAAACAGTGAATGTAAACATTAGTTGCTTATAAAATGAGCATGAGATGTATGATTTACAGTAAGTAGAGTGACAAGATTTCAGTAAAAAAAAAGTATAAAGATTAAGGTATTTAAACATTTCAATGCGCAATGGTAAGTTAAAAATTAAAGATGCAGATGAAAAGATGAAAAAAATACAAGTGGTTTGTTATCAGAATGTGAACAACTGGAGAATATGGAAAATAAGAGTGGAACTTGAGGTTCTAAGAGACTTAAGATGATTCTTAAAAGAAGGAAACAAGGTTGTTTCAAACATGTGGAATGAAAGTCCTCCTTGAATCTTAAAAATGAAAAGGTTTTCAGTTTAGCTGCAGTTCTGAATGTGATGTCTTTTAGAAAAGCTGCCATATTTCACTTCACATATGACAGGTAGTGCAGTCTCGTGGTGATTCAGTCTAAATTCAGCAAGTATGTATGCACTCACTCATCATACACGTCTTCAGTGTCCATCCTGCGGTAGAATTTGCCGAGTTTTACCGACATGATGATGCTGGGAATGAGTAACAAACAGCATCCTCCCAGACCAAACCAGAATGTGTTCTAAAACGCACAATAAACAGCTCATATAAATAATTTTCTTGAAATTACACAGGCATATACGAACACACATACTGTATGACATTTTTGGTGTGAAAAGTGAGTGTGTTTGCCTTTGGAGTATATTCTGTAAATTCATGGTTTCAGTTCACACAAGCATACGCACTGTGAACACTGAATGTGAACACTGCCAATCTTGTTCTGTTTGTGTGTGTGTGTGTGTGTGTGTGTGTGTGTGT